CTACGGTTAAAATTACCACTTGCCAAATCTAAACGCCTCTATTCGACTAAGCCGATCATAGGTTACGCAAAGTCTCAGATCGATTAGCGACTAATGTGCCGGTTTACAGTTGTCATTTTGGTGGTGACTGTGAGATTCGACACGATGACTACCCCCTCCCCCTGATTTTGAAAATTTGAGTAAACGTTGAATAATCTATCAAGATTGAAGAAATAATAAGAGATATACTTTCCCTGAATAGCGACACAATAAATAGAGAACAGCTGAAAGAATTATTGGATGGGTTAACTACGTCCTTCGCTCAGGTGGCAACTACAATTGCCAATTCTAGGAGAGAAGAAAAGAAGGAGCTAACCCATGTATAGATTAATGCTTTTTGTGGGACTGACGAAGAGGATCCTATCGAATGGATAGAATCTTTCAAAAGAGCCGCAGAAGCCAATCATTGGTCGGAAGTAAGGATGCTCAGTATAGCTTCCGGGTATCTCTATGGATTGGTCGCGGACTGGCATAAAGGAAAGAAAAGTCAACTAAAAGAATGGAAAAATGATGAAAATGAAGAAGAAAGGTTCTACCACGCCTTCTTAGACTTCTTCGCCACACCAAAAAAATGGCATAGGTGGCAAATCGAACTGAATAGTCTCCAACAGCACAGGGATGAGAGAGTTGATATGTACGGTGCAAAATTTAAGCACCTCTTTGCGAGGGTGAATCCAGAAAAGGAATTGCCCAATGCATACGTTATTCGTATGTTCCTAAGTGAACTTCGGGGTAAAACACCAACCTTTGTCGCTGTTTCCGAGCCTGATACCTTGGAGGAAGTTATCATTAGCGCCAGAAGAGTTGAAGCACGAGAATACTACAGTAAACAAATGCAAGAAAGAGGGCACCAGAAGAGGCTAGAAGAAGAATTGGGTAACCTTTCCAAAAAAATCAAAAAAATTATCTTGAACTACGCCGCCCTCATCGAAAATCGTCCTAAAGAACCTCACGGCAAAAATAAGTGGAAAAATAAAGGGAATCAAGAAAAGCGACGTGAACCAAAGAAAGACATTACCTGTTATAACTGTGGCAAACCTGGTCATATATCTCAATTTGTCTATCGAAAAAAGCCCCCAAGAAGGAAAGTGAGGATAAGAACAAGACTAATTACGTCGAAGTAGCCACACACTACATCGATAATGACGGATGAGAAGACGAGATCTATACCTTAGACAAAAATAGATACCAACCCTATGAAGAGAATAGCAAAAAGGTGGCTCAAGCCAACCAGAGACCCGGTGAGAAAATCGTTTAAGAACTCGGGGAAACGTTATGTCTCAAACATTAATAAACTTAGAAGCCCCTGACGTAATGATCGAAGATGAAGTTGTACCCGTGAAGAAACCGCGAAGAAAACGCAATCCATCCGTAATTGATAAACTCGCTCTGTACAATGTTGCAGAAGACATTATGAATTCCCCTGCAAACGTCACCATAGGGCAAATGCTCCAGTACCCCAACCAGAGAAGGAACTTAGCTTTGGCCCTACGAAGACCCCTTCCCCCGATGCAAGAAGCAGGCACGTGAAGTTTGAAGACGACAAGAGGACTATGGCAGCACGATGCTACATCAGAATTAAGAGTAACCCGGTCGTGGCAGTACTCGACTCTGGCGCTGCCGTAAGTATTATAACCAAGAAGCTTGTTGACAAATTAGGTCTTTTGATCCAAGAAAAATCTCCCACCGTCGTAGTAACAGCCAATGGCGCAAAAACGAGGGCACTAGGGAAAATAAGTAATGTAAAAATTGTCATTCAGGATACAGTAATTCCAAGTACCCTACAAGTTATCGAATCTTCAGATGAAACGTTACTTCTTGGAACTGATTGGTTCCAGAAGGCCAGGGCTCGGCTCCACTTCGATGAACAGAAACTGATCCTGAGACTCCAGGATCGAATGATCGAAGTACCCATATCCCATACCGGTACCAAGGATTTAGAACAGCTGAAAGAAGAAAAATGGGATAATCAGAGTGCCGATACCTTCGACGAATTTATTTATGAAAGAGAAGAACTGGATGAAAAGGAAGGATACTATACTGTGGAGTCAGAAGATGAGTAGGTCCTATATGAAAATTCATGGAAAGATGAAGTTAGCTCA